GTCTGTCCATGTACCGCAATCCGATACAAAAATATCCTCATATCTTCTATAGAAATGAGCAAACGTGACATCGTCTGGATTATAATTGAAACTTTCAATAGCGTTCCACACAGCCGTCTGGGAGAATGCGTTATGATTCTCGCTTGCATTCATTAACTGTGTTGCCTCCAGAAGTTTCCTCTGTTCCTCCTGTGTTTTCATAAAGATTTGTTCGACACGTTTCTGTTGTTCCAACAACTCTTTAAATTTCTCCTCACTTTCAAGTTGTCGTTGAAGTTGTTGCTTTTGCAACGCGAGACTTTGTTCCGTTTGAAATTTGAACAATTGAAGAAGAGACTCTCTTAATTCTGCGTCCATGGTACGAATTCAATTTACGCACCATACAGTTTACACTTGTATTAAACAAATCAGTTTTCCCAAGGCTTGCTTACTAAAATTAGTTTGCTCAACTAATACACAAACAAGAAATATGTATTTCTCGTAAAAAGCAAAAAAAAAAAAAAAAAATCCGTCGCTTTAAGGAGTGTCGATTAATGGGAAAGTCACAAAAATTTTTTCCAACCTCTTTGTGGTTTTGCACAAATATGACTCGAATTTTTAACAGTCTTTGTTAAGCACAAATGACTTACGCGAATATATATTTTTCACTCGACAAATCATTTAACTTTGAAGAGGAGAAAAAAAAAATCTTACCGTGACAAAAAAAACTCTGGTTTCTTGTAAAGAAATCATAAAAACAGTGAACCTCTTTTTTTCGAACCCCTTCGTGTCAGTATTTTCAACTATAATTGACAATATTATTCGCGTTCTCACGCTGTAGACTTTTGGTAGCAAATTTTTGGTTGTTTCTAATTTTTTTTTTTTTTTTACGTCGCCAAATTGCTATTGTAGTAATTAATTTGCTATTAATCCTTGCGTATCCACATATCTGTTCGAAATGACGTAGGTGTTTTGCCGTAAAAATCTTGCGAATCCTTGTATTTCAATCACTTTAGGTGATTGTCTGCAGTGTTATCGTTTCGATTCCGACGTCGCCAATCTGTTGTGTCGTGGCACAATAGTAAAAATAAGAAAATCAAGTTGAAGTTGGTTTAAGGAACAAGTGTATTTAACATCACAGATACAAAGGTAGGAAACGGGTACTACTCAGCTAGGCAGTTGTAGTACTGTCGCTACTTATCCCGGGTAGGTATTACTGGCACTATATATAGTGAGAACCGGTGTAATTCCTTTGTGTCAGAGGCCGGTGCAACATATATATATATATATATATATATATATATATATATATATATATATATATATATTATGTCTATTTATATCTAGCTATCTATTCACTCTATTCATATCTATTTCAGTCTATTCATATCTATCTATCTATCTATCTATCTATCTATCTATCTATCTGCTTCTATCATTGTAACCAAATTACTACTGATATTGTAGGTGTACTCCACCTTGTCTGCTTGGAGACTTATCATAATGTCCGCGGTGGCGTTGTATAAAAAGAAGGGGCACAAAACCTTTCTCTCTCTTCATTCTCTCTCTATCCATAATTTCATAATAAGAATACTTACATCAGAAATTGTCAGTCAATAATTATATAGAGTGAAATTTTAGACTGAGAATGCACAAAATACAAGCCATCTCTCTCTCTCTCTCTCTCTCTCTCTCTCTCTCTCTCTCTCCCCAACTACAGGATACCGCCATGACAAGATTTGTTTCTTTTTTCTCTTTGGAGGACTTCGTAGTCCCCAGTAAACCACGTGTCGCATCGCATTCAACACAATACAATTACTACACATTTAAAAAAAAATTAAGCGACCCCAATAATACCTCCACCACAACCTATCAGATAAATATATCTCTCCTTCCAACAAATGAATCAGAGTTACTAGAAACTGATGGCCCCTACCACGTAACAAACTGGTAACCTAATGCTGTTACAAGCTAAATAAAGGAGAACTGACCAAAAAAGAGGAAGATGTTAGTGGTTAGGACGGTAATAACTATAGATGAGGCAGATCCAAATAGGAAATGCTTGACGGTGGAATTAATAGACATTATAAGGGAGAGCATTATGGCCGCCTCGGACGACGGGTTAGAAGAATGTACAACCGCGCTAAGGTCTGTTTTCCTAGTAAAGTTACAAACTAAATGCAATACAGAATAAACAAAGCTTCATTTTAATACTGTTCTCTCGAACATAATTTTGAACAATGTAACTAAAAATTTGGATAACTCGAATAACAATTAACAAGTTGTCCGTTATAGATTAAAATATTCAGAGAGGTACACTTAACCACTTAAGCCTTTCTCAGATAAAGTCCTTGAAGTTAGGCATTGTTTCAAAGTTGAATTGCCATTCTCTGTAACTCAGAGCAATCCAGCAATACGATACATTATCAACAGAATTTTTGTTTTCCTATCAAAATGTAAAAAGTAATCTTATTACATACTAGGCGAATTACCCGTGCCTTACTACGGGACGTACATTTTTTGAAAATGATGATTGATTTAAAATCATTGTTATAATTTATAGAGAAGAATGATGCATTTCAATATTACTCAAATGATCTTGCTGATGTGATCTCCATCTTCTGGCTTTCTCCTTCTACATTTTGGATAGGAGTCATTCCGTTGTTTGTGTGTGCGTGGGGGGGGGTCACTCAGGAGATTCCCTTTGATCAAAATGAAATATACTTATCCAAGAACTCTGGGTAATGTAGTTTCAGAATATATATGGTTATGGGGGTCTATCTACAAAATCCTAAGACGAGTTCGATAACAAACTAACAGACAGACAGACAGAGGCTACAAATTTATATGTATATATAGATTCTTGAAGTGATAAAGTGATAGCTTTTCAGACAATTTTCATGGGAGCAGAAGTGAAATTTTAATTCACTGATAGGAGATTTAAATGAACTAAACAATATTTAAATTGTAATGACACTCAGAAGATATGTAATAAGATGTTGGTTTGGTTTGACTATCCTTACCAAGTTTGACACAGAGAAGAGATGTAGTAAGTCGTTGGTTTGCTTTAAAAACTTAGGATATTTTACACTAGGTAAAGATGTAGTAAGATATTCGTTTAGCTTTATAATACTTATGAATTTGAAATGTAGTAAGTGCTTGGTTTGGTTTGACTCTCGTTACGAAATGTGACACAAAGAAGAGATGTAGTAAAAGGTTGGCTTGGTTTTTATAATACTTACGAAATGTGACATTACGAAACGATGACTTTAGTGGCTGCTTTGGTTTGATTATCCTTACGAAACACTAAGAAATGTAATAAAGATTGGCTTGGTTTGTGACACTATGAAGAGATGTAGTAAGAAGTTTTTTTATATATATATATACCTACGAGATGTGACAACAAAGAGATGTAATAAAAGGTTGCTTTGTTTTGTCTCTCCTTCCGAAATGTGACACAACAAACGGCTTTAGTAAGAGATTAGTTTGATTTTATAACCCGAAAAGTGACACTACGTAGAGATGGTTTCATTATACTTACCAAATGTGACATTAATAAGAGATGTCGTAAGTGGTCGGATTGGTTTGATTATCGTTTGCTATTAGATTGATTTATAAGTAATATCATTTTGGAAACTAATTGTAATAACCAATGGATCAACTTAACTAACTGTTCCCGATATATATCATAACATAAAAAAATGTGTTACATACAACTATGTGCAACTTAAATAGCAGTAGATTGACACGATTCAACCGACTCCAAAGATAAGCTACATCGATGTAAGTTAAATACTGTGTGCGGTGGCGTGATTGTTGGGACATTATTCACTTATAAAGGGTGTTCCAATAACTTGGACCGATTTTAAATGCGAATAAGTTTAAGCATCTAATGATTTTTTTCTCTTTATTTCAGATTTGGCGGACATTTGAACGATATTATTTTTCACACATAATTGCCATAACTTAAATAGCATGATCCAATAGAGAAATAACTTTTCAACGATAACACTGATTTATTTACTGCTGACTGTAATCCGTCTTAATGAAACACCGTTTACATCTTAAAATACAATGAAATACTAAATCCAACTTTATATATCTAGTAGCTGCTACGTGTTCATAAAAGTTTTCTCGAAAACCGCCCTGTGGTTCCTCTTTAGGAAAAATGTTCTCCTCTATGAGAGCGCAAGATCACATACATGAAGAACAAAGCAGGTAGAAATTTGGGGACTCGTTGGACAATTCTACTTCAACGCCATATACACCTGACCTTGCACCAGTCGATTATGATCTTTATCGATCGTTGCAAAACGCTTTGATGGGGAAAAATTTCTCTAATGAAAACCTGATACAAGTGTTCGTCGAATGATTTTTCCCATCAAAATCTGCGGAAACTGATTCAAATTGTATCCAAGTGTGATAAGTGGCAAAACCTCAGTGCAAATAATGATGAATGGTTATTATTTCACCCCAAAATGAAAATAATTTATATTTACTAAAATTCACAGCAAATTCTTCCAGAATGAGACACTTCCATTGCACTCCGGTCGGGTTGACCTTTGCGATCGTTTCTAAAGTGGGCGACTCAGGTGCGCTCTTTTTACGTGTGGAGTCCACGTTCGCTCTCACCCCCGATTAACAAGTTTAAAACAGATTTCTTTCTTTCTTTTTGTTTTTTTTTTTAATTGTAAAACATTCCTTGTAAGTATCCTGAATATCATTCGTAGTTACGAAATGTGAATAACTCCTAGATTTTTGGTAATTTTTCATTCTGAGGGTAGGAGGTGTTGCGAGACAAGCTAAACAAATTTTGATTTAAAATTTATAATTTCAAGAATTCCAAAAATGTATTAAAAAATGAACAAACTTTGATTTATAATTTCTTGGGGGTGAATTAATATTTGCGATAATTAACTTTACAAAGTTTTGTAAATTAACAGAAAAGATCTTATATAACAGACCCAGGCTCGAATATAATTGTACTTTATTTTTTGAAGATAAACAAAAGCAGAAACGAATTATGACCCAACTATGACACACTTAGATAGATAGATAATGAACAGACTGAGATAATGAAAAGAACTGAGATAGATAGATAGATAGATAGATAGATAGATAGATAGATAGACACTTTCGTGAACAACGTATAATACGAAAATAATTCGCTGTTACATTTCTCTTAGTCAACATTCACTCACTCAGTGTAAATTATCTCCCCTTGACAATATATTTAAATGATTTTTTATGTAAATGAATGATGTTGAGAGGGAGAAATCTCACAAATAAAGTAAAAAGAAAAGAAAATGTAAGTTTATTTTGGAGCCTTTATTATCCGCCAGTTTAGTTACATTATTTATTTTATGCCAATCTGCCTTACAGTTTTAATAGGAAGAGATAGAGATTTCTGTTAAGATCAACGTAAAAGGCAAATATAAAATGGAATTTAATAAAGTGGATTTGTATTAAATGACAATGTTAAAATACACAGCGGTTAAGATAAAATTAAGTTAGAAAGTCAAGACGAATATTGAATCTGAAATGATCTTTTAAATTTAGAAACCGTGTCCCATGTGGACAAAGAAAGTAGTTATGTGTACCGTTGTATCAGGTCATCCCATAAGTTATATTTAATTACAGATTCAATCAACAATGCATTTTCCCTGATTATCTATGACTTCCTTCCATCTATTAACAAGCTTACTAATTCCATTACTGTAAAATTCTTTTGGCTTTGATTCGAAGAACTCACAAATGTCAGTTTTAACCTCTTCCTGTGTTACAAAAGCTGTTTCTTCCAAATGATTCTGTAAGCTACGAAACAAATGGTAGTCTGAAGGAGCACGATCAGGAGAATAAGGTGGATGAGGAATTTTCTCCCAACCAAGTTCTTCGATCTTTTGTGACGTGATTCTTGCTGTGTGGGGTCGCGCATTGTCCTGATGAAACATCACCCCTTTTCGATTCACTAGAGCAGGTCTTTTTTTCCTCAAAGCTTGGTTCAAACGCTCTAATTGCTGACAGTATATTTGAGCATTAATTGTTGCATTAGGTGGTAAGAATTAAAAGTGGATTATTACTTGGCCATCCTACCAGATTGAAAGAAGAACCTTTTGCCCATGAAGTTCCTTTCTCGGTTGTGGTTGGATCCTTCCCCTTTACCAAGCCATTGTCTACGACGCTTAACATTTCGATAAAAGATCCATTTTTCGTCGCCAGTCACAAGTCTATCCAAAAAAGGTGAAACAAGTTGGCGAGAATAGAGAGAAGAGCAGATGTCAACTCGGGATTTGTGGTTGTTTTCAGACAATTCATGAGGCACCCATTTTCCAAGTTTCGGAACGTTTCCAAGTTGTTGAAGATGACGATAAACAGTTGTATGGTTTGAACTGAGAACCACTACCAATTCCTCAACTGATAAAGCAGGATTTTCTTCAAGGGCTGCTTCAAGAAGCTTTTCATCAAATGCAACTGGACGTCCGGTTCGATCTTCATCTTCAAGGGTGAAATCTCCACCTCTGAATTTTGCAAACCATCTTCTGCAAGTTCTTTCATTCACACATTCCTCTCCATAAACTGAGTGAATGTTTCTAGCTGCTTCGGCAACTGAGTTTCCTTTCTTGAACTCAAGACATTGTGCCTCAAATGATTCTTGGGTACTTCCATGTTAGCAGGGTTTTAATCAAACAAAATTTAATTTTATTGCTCTCTGAAATAAAATTTGATCAGTTTAAATGCATCTAAATATAAAAATAATGTTCAGCTCCATTAGACATTATAGAATACTCTTTAAATTTCGTTCATTTTAACAAAAAGTTAAAATTCGGACAGAACTTATGGGATGATCTGATATTTTCGCAATACTGATTCCCTTCAAACGATTTAAAAAGAGAACAAGCATCGGGAAAATAAGGAGGTATCCAAGTTAGACGAATAATTAGATAGATAGATAGATAGATAGATAGATAGATAGATAGATAGATAGATAATGAACAGGCTGAGATAGATAGTGAAAAGAACTGCGATAGATAGATAGAGAGAGAGAGAGAGATAGCGAAAAACTGAGATAGATAAACAGATAAATAATGAACAAAGATAAAGAAATAAATAATGAAAAACTGAGATGGATATATGATGAACAGATAGATAGATAGATAGATAGATAGATAGATAGATAGATAGATAGATAGATAGATAGACTGAAGGAAAGAAATATCTCGTTAGATAGATAAACAATGAACAGACTGAGAGAGTGAAAAGAACTGAGATAGATAGATAGATAGATAGATAGATAGATAGATAGATAGATAATGATCAGAATGAGAATAGATAGATGAATATACTGAGATAGATAGATAGATAGATAGATAGATAGATAGATAGATAGATAGATAGATAGATAATGAAAAACTGAGATAGATAATGAAAAAAAAAAACTGAGATAGATATATAAGGAACAGGCACATAGATAGATAGATAGATAGATAGATAGATAGTAACGAGTACTGCGATATATAGATATATAGATGATGAACAGAAGATGCTCAGAAGATTCGGTAACAGAAAATTCGGTAATTTTGAAAAGCTAGGAAAATTCGGTAACTATGAAATAAAAATCGATTGAAAATTGATTTTAGGTCCGTTCTGGTGTGGGTACTTGGGAGCCAACGTATATTTTGAAATATAAATGAGACTATGTAGTTTTTACTTCTTCAAAAAGAAATAAAACTTAATGTATTTACTACCTTTTTTATTAAAATAAGAATTTGTAAAGAAGATACAAGAACTAAATTTTAACTTTTTAAATCGATTTTATTTTCTTGAAAACAATAGAATATAGTAATCAAATAAATACTTATTTTAAAAACATTTATTTAATAATATTCGGGGGGATTTCACCGAGTATCCCCCATCCAGAAAGTATGGCCTTGGTATTGTTGCAGCGGGGTTTTATCTGGACTAGAATCCATGATTATTTTTACATAATACTTATTTAAACGTAATGGGGTGGGGGAGCTACCTCTTCCAGAAAGTACGGTCCTGGTATTGTTGTAGTGGGGTTTTATCTAGACCCTCATACTTAATAATACTTTTTAAAAAAATATTGGGTAAAAATGCCTAGCCCACTAAGTACCCACAGCACTTCTGCAAGTATGGCCTCAGTATTGTTGTAGTTGGGTTTATTTGGTACCCACGATTTTCAGCTATTTAAAAATAAAGGGGAGGGGAGATTAGCCCCCAAGTCCCCACTCTAGAACGGTCCTAAATTAAATTTTCAATCGAATTTCATGGTTACCGAATTTTTCTACCTTGTCAAAATTACCGAATCTTTCTACATTCGAACAGAATGAGATAGATAGATAGATACATACATACATACATACATACATAGATACATAGATAGATGATGAAAAAGTCTGTGATAGATAGAAAGATAATGTACTGAAATAGACAGATAAGAAAAAACTGAGAAAAATAGATAAATAGACAAAGAACAGATTGAGATAGATAGATAGATAGATAGATAGATAGATAGATAGATAGATAGATAGATAGTATTGTGGCAGCAGAAAAAAAAACAATGAAAAATAATACATTTACTTTACTTGGCTCCAAGACCAAATAATCGTCTCCGCTGTAAATTACTCTCATGATCAGTGTCGAGTTGTCGCCATAAAAATGCCTGGTCTGATTCGAAATCCTCTGCTCATAATCCGTTTCCACTGTAAAGGGGGAAACTCCCGTCCCGTCGACGACGCTGGATGAAACGCGGATCGAGGTTTTTATAGCCCGCCATGTGGGTTTCTTTTGTGATCTTTGGAATCTGAATATCTTTTAGTTTTACAGAGGCGCCAGGTAAATACCTTATTAAATCTCGTCGGTTGAGGGTAATTCCTTCGTCTGCAGGAATCGTAACGATATCGGTAGATAGAAGAAAAACATATACGTATATACCCGCGTATTATGCAACCCTTGAAGAGATAATTTTGAAGCTAATTTGACTACAGTTAATGGATATATAGTTTGATCAACGACGTAGCCAAGGCCAGCAGTACATACGCTAATTTTATATCACGTGTATGATGCGACCTCCTTAAAATTAGCTTCAAAATTAGGTCTGCAAAAGTCGCATGATACACGGATATATACAGTACGTATATAGGATTACCTACATACCTGCATATATACACAGGTATATAAATAAGCAGATAAATATGCACTAATGATGTATAAATCATTGTTAGCTGTGTCGTTATAGACGAGGGTCAGATGAAAAGAGGTCGGATCAATTTAGGAACCTTAAACAAAGAAGAGGAATGAAAGCTCATTTGGTAGAAATAGTTTGATCATTTGGGAAGAATTTCAGAAGTGGATTTGGACTGAGAACATTCCACCATAAGAAACGTCAGACGTAAGTAAAAAAATATATCTGCAAAGAAAATATAAATAAAGACAAAAGAAAAACTGATTTTAGCCAACGCGTTTCGTCCTCAGATGGACATTGCCTTGATAAAGTCCATCAGAGGACGAAACACAACGGCCAAGATCAGTTTTCTTTTAGTCTTTATTCATATAAGGTGAAAAGATTTTACTTAGTAAAAAAAGTGATACAAAAATCAACAAAAAGAAAAAGAAACTAAAGGAAATTGGCTAGATTATATGCCTAGGCACACATTCAAATATATATATATATATATATATATATATATATATATATATAGTGTAACCCGGATATAAGAGACCCGGATATAAGAGAAACCCGGATATAAGAGAGATTTTCTCTGGTCCCAAATTAGAGCCTGTGTTAATGTATATAAAATAGACCAAACCCGGATATAAGAGAAACCCGGATATAAGAGACTTCTTCTCCGGTCCCGACAACTCTCTTATATCCGGGTTACACTGTATATATATATATATATATATATAAAGAGCAGTAAGATATATAATCCGGTGTTCTTATAGATATTTTTATTTTTACAAAATAGTGCTCAATGTAAATTTACAGAGCATTAATATTATAAATTAATTGATTTAAAATATGGTTTTTCCGCTACACAGTTCTAACCATGTTTCAAAAATGGAAAGTCCGAATTTAATTTTGTAATTAAATTAAAGACATTAGTTCCATTTCATCCTCAAGCGAATTTTGGAGTAAATCAGGTCAATTCTTAAAAAAAAATTTTTAAAAAAAAGCTAATTAAGACATGCGTGTCCGTCAACCTTAAACAATAATCTATATCAATTTTATTTTTCAGTCTTTATGATGGTCGATACTTGATCTATCTCTTACTGTTACATCCCCGGGCAACGCCGGGCTCTACTGCTAGTTTTTAATAAAAATACCCTAAAATTAAGTTGCAGTTGTACTGAAAACTTAGAAATGATTATTCAGAAACCTAATGCTAATAACTTAAATAAACACTAATACTATATGGATCCTAAAATATAAAGAAATGAAGATAAAGAAAAATTATGTAACTGTAGAAATCCTCAAAACTGTCCTCTTAATAATAAATGCCGTATTGAAGCAATGATTTATCAATGCAATATTTCATGTATTGATGATCCAGAAATAATAAAATTCTACATTGGATGCACACGAAATGAATTCAAAAGAAGGCGCAGCCAACATCAAACGTCCTTTGATAATAATAAATACCGAAATCAAACGTCCTTATCTAAATATTTTTGGTACTTAAAAGAAACCAATAAAACACCGACAGTAAAATAGAAATTAATAAGAAAAGCTAGAGCTTGTAGGTCATTAAATGACCCATGTCCTTTGTGCATACATGAAAATTATACATTATTAAGTTTCTGAAAAATAAAAAAAATTACTACATCAAAGAGGTAAAATAGCTATTTTTGTAGTAACAATTAATTTTAAATAAAAAAGATAAATAAAAAATAACAATAAATAACAGAGAAGAAACATACATTTTTGATCTTTAATTAGTAATTAAATTCTAATATATTTATTTGTAAAAATACCGTATGATCTATAAGTTATTAGAAGGTCGTGTGGTACTTTAAATCTATTAGAATAAGATTTAATTAATAAAATTTAAGTATTAAAAATATGTCTTGCACATATTTAAATGACCCTTTTAGAAAGTCTTTGTGTATAAAAATATGAATTATGCGAATGAATGAAAATGTCTAAATTTTATTTGGCATTGGAAACCCAGATGACTCATTGAAGGACGGAAGTATACTCTTGTTAGCAGACACCTCCACCTCACCTAAACTTAACCTGACTTTGTAAGCAACATATATTGGATACATAAGCTGTCTAGGGAAATTAAAACCCAGCCACCCCATAAAATATATTTTAACAAAATTAAAATATATTTCCTTAACCTTATCAACTTATAATATCAATATAAATATAAATTAAGTTGATTCTTTTGAAAGTTTATTCCTATCATCGCTTGACAATTGAACGAGACAATGGATTCTGAGTTTAATTTTAATAAATAAACTTCTCTACTGTTTTGTATCGAGCACTGTTTTTTTTAAAAATAAAAACAATTGCTTAGAACTCTTGATTATAAATCTTACTGTTCTTTCTTATTATTTTAATACATACATACATACATATATATATATATATATATATATATAAGCAAATATATGGATATAGATCCGACAGCATGAAGAAAAATATACTGAAAAAACGAAAAAAAAAATTCTTTTCTGTATTTTTTGTTTTTTTTCAGTATATTTTTCTTCATATATATATATATATATATATATATATATATATATGGGTGTGTGAGTGTGAGAGAGAGCATTTGTAAATATATTATGTAAAATATGTGTGTGTGTGTGTGTGTGTGTGTGTGTGTGTGTGCGTCTGTGTGTGTGTGTGTATAATTATACATAGGTGTGACATGCTCACCTGGGGTTTATATGGTAACTGTCTGGGAAAGCATGATCAAAGCCAGCAAGCTCAAATCCTCCGTCACGATGGCATGTGATTTCGCGCTAGCACATCTATCGACGACCCCCAAGGGTTCGTCTACCCAAATTAACTCACAAGGCTTGGGTCAGCCCGTAGGATGGTTTTTTAGACACTTTCCAAAGGTGCTGCATGCTTGAATCGCCCCTCTCCAGACTGATATAAGCAAGTCTCCTTTCTGGCAAATCAACGTTCTAACCACGCGCGTGTATATATATATATATATATATATATATATATATATATATATATATATATTATATATATGCATGTGTATGTGTGTCTGTGTGTGTGTGTGAGTGTGTATACACATACACATACATGTAGAGAGGGTGTGAAAGACAGGGATCGTATGTAAATGTAAATATTATATATATATATATATATATATATATATATATATATATATATATATATATATATACTGTTTAAAAAATAAATGTAACGTCTACTCAAATATGGATATCCACTTAAAAGAACGTTTAAATAATAATAATAATAATAATAATAATAATAATAATATATATATATATATATATATATATATATATATATATATATATATATATATATAAGAACTGACTGAAAAGATATACAGTTTGGAACAATGAAGCGTGTGATAATTATGAACAGCTTAAGATATGAACAGAATCTATATATAGAACGAGAATATGTGTTGTGTGTGTTTGTTTCCACGTGTTTTGGCCCTATCAACCCAACAATGATCATTTCGAGCCAATCTTAAGCTGCTTATTTGCCGCTCATTGGTCTGGAGGAAAGTCGGCTGATGTGCGCCGCTTCGGTGCTTGTCAGCAATTTTCAGAGCCAAGCAAGTGTGGCGAGTAGAAGGTGATGCCTTTTTCGAAAAAAAAAAAAAAAAAAAAACGATCCTCGCAGCTTTGACTGGTGTACCTTTATTTTCGGCCTTGCCCGTACCTCTCCACGCGCCATCTATTCAACAATCGTTCCACGAAAACATTGTCTGACAAGCCTTCGAAAATATTTCAATTGTCTTAGCAAGCTTGCCTTGCCTTAACGATATTACCAAGCTTAGATTTCTCTGTCACAAGGTTAAAAAAATTTTTCTTTCTTACACACACACACATTTATATTTCTTAATACTTCAAACGTTATTTTTAGTGGATACCCGTGTTTGAGTAGACGATCCGTTTATTTTAAACAGTATTTATTTCGTCTCCCGGCATCCATAGTAGAGAAAACTTGATAAGAATAATGTGCCCTTCGACAGGATTCTAACCTATGTCTGACTTTGCAGAAAAAAGCAATGTCTAATTCGGCGTAATTTTACAGCTCGGCTACTAAGAACTTCACAATTAAAAGTGGTTCTGTTTTGCTTTTAAACCACACAGACTTGTTCAAATTTTTCTGAAACGCATATCAGCTCAGTTTCGTATCTAACCGTAGAATAAGAAGAATTAATAGATTTATTTTTTAATCCAACATATTTTTATTACTTCAAATGATATATTTAGTGGATAAACGTATTTGAGGAGATGCTACATTTATTTTAAATCGTATTTATTTGGTCTACCGGTCTGCGTACTCGAGAAAATATATTAAAGAAAATCTGTCCTTCGGCGGGATTCGAACCTGAGTCCACTTTTGAAGAAGGAACCAGCATCTGAATTTTTAAAAAAATATTTTCGATTAAAAAATAAAATTTATTATTTGTTTCGAAATAGCTTTGTGTTCATTTTGGATATGAAACCGAGCAGATATGCGTTTGGGGAAAATCTGAACGAGTGAGTGTGTTTTAACGGTAAAACAGAAACTTGCTTTATGGTGAAGGTCGTCAGAGCCGAGGGGTGAAGCACGCCGATATATATATATATATGTTTATACATTCTTTTTATAGATACAAATATTTAAGTAAATGCTCTGTTTATAATAAACAGTATTAAACAACATTTACCGGCCTGAATGTCCGAGAAATTTTCATAGAAAATGTTCGTCCTAATTTGAGAAAAAAGAAAGTCTGTATTTTTTTCTTTCACATGTAACGGTTGATTTTGTTATTTAAGTATGATCTTGGATTTAATGGCGAATATTCTTTTGAGAAAAGATTTTCTTTCAGGAATAAGAGATTGTCTAAATCAGTGATTCTCAACCGCTATGACGCAGCAAACTAGTGTGCAGCGCCATCCTCTTATGTGTGCAGCAGAAATACTGTCACATATATATATATATATATATATATATATATATATATATATATATATATATATATATATATATATATATATATATATATAAATTATTATATATATATATATATATATATATATATATATATACTGCGTGCCAAATTATTATCGGGATAACTTTTTTCTAATATTTCGAAAACCGTCCAATCAATTCACACAAAATTTTCACACAACGTTGGCAATACTGACCAGCGCAATCACTGAATTTTTCGTACTGATCTGCGCAATGTAAACAAACTGGCGCCATATTTGTTATCAGAACGGTGATTTGAAAGTGCCAAATTATTAGAAAGGTTTAGTAAAATTCCCAGAATTGAGCAAACAAAACGTTTATTAATGTTGCACGTGAATGTTTATGATCAAAAGAACCTAATAAATAAGATAATCAAACAAATAATAACAGATACAAACAAAGGCACAGTTATAAAAAAATTAATAGGGAATGTGCTTTCCCAGTTTTGAAATTACTTGAAGAAGTCTACGATCCATAGAATTTGCTAATTGTAGGATGTCATCTGCTGTAATGACGCGAGGTCAAGAATTGCTTCCCACAACTCAGCGTTGCTCCTGTATTGTCGTACGTTGGCGTACAGTCTTCGCTTCATGATGCTCCAAAAGTTTTCGATTGGGTTCAAATCCGGAGAATTTGCTGGCCACTTCATTTTTCGAGGTCCATTGAAGCCTAACTGTTTCAAATATTCGGTAGTCTTGTGAGCAGCATGTGAGGGAGCATTATCTTGCATAAAAACAATTGCCCTTCTGAAGGCAAGTCTTTGCCTTTTCATCCACGGTTCAAGATGCTCCTTCATAAACGCTATGTATGCATCAGCAGTCATTTTGACGCCGTCTGGTACTCTCCATGCGCCCACTAATGTTTTTCCAATAATACCACCCCAGATCATTATGCCTCCACCGCATTGTTGGCGTCTCAAACGCTGATGGCGATTCTGTCCATTCATTACCCAGCCTTTGCACCATCTATCTGGCCCATCAAGTGTTGCTCTTGTTTCGTCTGTGGACAAAACTTTAGAGAAGTCAATCTTCATATTGTCCTCGGCCCATTTCAATCGATTTTGAATGTGATTTCTCGTCAACGGAGGCTTCGATACAGGTTTGACTGTTGTTGCTATTTTCCTCAGATACCGATACCAAGTACTTTTAGACACAGTAGGATCCCCAATGCGACTGAAAAGTCTTGACTGGTTATTCGTGGGTTATTCGTTTCGTTTAAGTCGTGACATGAGACGACGTGAAATAACCTTCTTGCCTTGCCTTTATCTGCCCTTTTGCGTACTTGTGTATGGTCGGCGGTGAACTTTTTTTGATGACACCTCCCTATCATTTTAGAAATTTCTAGGGTAGATTTACCTTTTGAGAGTTCTGAGGTGATAGTTTTCTTTTCAGCATCACTTAAACTGCTTTTACGACCCATCTTTTCACTAAATTCTTACACTTTTCTAATAATTTGGCACTCTCAAATCACCGTGCTGATAACAAATACGGCGCCAGTTTATTTACATTGCGCAGATCAGTACGAAAATTTCAGTGATTGCGCAGGTCTGTGTTGCCAACATTGTGTGAAAATTTTGTGTGAATTGATTGGAGGGTTTTTTGATATATTAGAAAAAAAATTATCTCGATAATAATTTGGCACGCAATGTATATGCCGTGACAGATATATATATATGTGTGTGTGTGTGTGTGTGTGTGTGCAAGTGTGCAAATAGTAATGGTACAGCGTTAGTATTAAACATTTTTTCAAATAATCCTTTTCACTATTCTTCAATCATGTTATTTTAAATAGTTTGTTTTAATATTCATTTTTAATAGCATTTTTATTTTTTAATTTAACTTTAAAAAAAATCCTTTCTTTGAATAAACGAATATTAACCTTTTTTCATATGATTGTATTCATCATTTTTAGCTTCATTCAAAATTTTTACAAAGTTATATTGAATTGTAAATTAATATTGTCGAAGTTTCTGATATTCAGCATTGAGCATTTGACGTAATAATTTTCCATTTTTTTAAAGTATATTACTCAGAAATTTTGTATAAAATAAAAATGACGTTAATTGTATTGAAACTGTTGGTGTTTTTTCGTAGTAATATTTTACTGCACTTTCGCGCACCCGTAATTTGAAATGGAGCGCATATAATTTCAAGGAGGACAATCAGCCTATTGTTTACATAAAATACATTCGTTCATTTTGGGGGGCATTCGACCAAACATTGAATAAACCAGGAAATAGCACCAGACAAGAGTTTCAGCTGCACAAATAGTTGAATAGAAATATTGAAAAAAAGTAAATCATATTTGTGTATATATATATATATATATATATATATATATATATATATATATATATATATATATATATATATATATATTAATCTATGGTTTTATTTCATAACATTTATTTGTATGCCCTTCAAACATTTTGCTAAGTGTGCTGCAATATATTCATTTTCTCCTAGGTGTGTCATTGCTTAACAAGTTTGGGAAACGCTAGTCTAAATTAATGAGGGGTACTATTCTGGTTTGATAAGTTAAACATTGATAATAACAAGAGCTATATCATAACTTCCGCTAGGTGGCGTTGTATAAAGCAGTATAAAAAGGTTACAAACATTCTCTCTCCCTCTCGCTTCACCCACAGGATATGATAATGACAAGACGTCTTTGTTTCTTAGTTCCCATTGAACCATATATGTGTGACCGCATGGAAATAGAAATTGCTGTAAATTTGGATGTCAGGTGGTGCCGTGGATAATGGCTCAAAATTGTTAATCGTAGCTGAGTTCCAATTCACGTTGGATTCGTTATATCTACTTACGCGCAAATACTCTTGGGATAGGTAGGAACCTCTACTCCTCCAGCTACCGGTTAATTAGTAGAAATGGCATCAATAAACCATTATTACCCCAACCCCCAAATTCCTATTTAAAAAATAGCAATCTAAAAATATTTTCTGTCTTTAAATAACCTACAAATAATTGATAAGCCGTAGAAAATGAATCAATAAGAAATAGTGATTTTCCAAGCGTAGCACAGATGTGGCACAAAACCGAAAGTATGGGGGTACCCCGAGAGAATCGAACTTACTACACAGTCGTAATAATTCTAGCGAGACAAGCTGGCTAACCATTACACCACATCGAAGTACCCAAATTATAGTGATTTTGCAAGCGTAGCTTAGATGTGGCATAAGACCGAAAATAGTGGGCACCCATTGAGAACTCACTACCCAGTCGTAATTGTTCTAGCCAAATACGCTTGTTAACCATTACACCTCCTCGGAGTGCCCAAATCAATAAAGAAATAAGAATCATATGTCACGTACTATATTGTCACTTACTTTCAGAAAAAAGAAACGAGATCGTAATAATATCTCCACTACAACCTAGAAAATAAATATATACACAGGGTGATTGAAATGTAATTCCCTAATTTATGTATTGTCGACTCTCCCGTCTTGTAAAAATTATACTTAGACGGGAGGAGTCCATCATATATAGAACGAGGAGTTACTTTTCAATCACCCTGTATATCTGTTTTCAACAGAAGAAAAAAAACCCTCTCAGGAAATGAGTCAATGTCGTTAGAATCTCGTAACCTAAACCAGTTAAAAATATACAATGTCTTTCGAAATCAAATTGAAAAAGATAGATTTAACCCTATTAAAAAAGAAGATATTGCGTCAAGGGACAAATTGTAAGAAAATATATTTTATCAAATGTCAGGCTTTATGTTGTGTAAGGAGAACATTGAAGAGAGACTCCTAACGAAGCCAAAACGCAGATGGAAGCCAAACTTTCGTCAGCTATGTAAAGAATCTTGTAGAATGTCGTGAAGATATATATATATATATATATATATATATATATATATATATATATATATATATGAAGTGAGTGTTTCTGCTTTCAGAAAGCTTGTGCATTTCTATTTGCGCGCATTTCTTTGTTTGTCACAAGTTGATCGTTTTTGTCATTCAGCCTTCGACTCATTTTTTTTTGTTGTTGTTGTCAGGTTCACGGCTTCGTTTTCTGCTTCATTCAACCGCGAACAAAAAAAAACCTTCTTTCTCTCTTTCTCTATATCTCTCACGTATGCACTCATACAGAAGCTCTTGCCGCCCCCACCCCTACCCACGCTCTCTCTTTCTTCCTTTCATCCGTAATAGCTATTGCGTACGTGCACAGGTAGAGTTTTAAAATTAACATCAATTTACCAACTGGATTCCATTATACAAGGAATGTGCTGAAGAGGTTCTCAGCCAAATCTAACATCCTAAAAATCTGACCAAAGGACAAACTTAAACTTCTCTTTTTTTTACAAAGACGTCTTGGTTGGGCCCAGACATTTTTTCAACAACCTTTCGTGCATATATATATATATATATATATATATATATATATATATATATATATATATATAGGCAGCATATCTTCATTCAGACATGTTTCATTGAATAATATAAACATATTATGTCTGTTTTTATAATAATCCTTTCTAGTTCTCTAATAAGTTTCTTGATATTAAGATGAAACTCACCAAGGAAGGCAACGTAGTTCTTTCCTACACAAGTACTTTCGATCTCCTCAGAGATCATCCTCAGGAGTGAATTACAAAGACAAACTTTGTAACTGTGAGAAAATGTACATTTCGTTGTGATGGTGATTAAAAAAAAATAAAAAAATAAAAATAAAAACAAGCATACTCACATAAGGGAGCTAACCAAAAATTAGTAGAAATGCAAAATGGCATTAACTGTTTGTTAAATGCATTTAAACATATGGCTGCTACACACGTAATAAATTTTGTTGAGAGTTGTTTGCTTGTTTTTGATATAGAGGGCCTCGAGATTTTGAAGTTTTGTTTATTGTTTTTGTGGTGCAGTATATTGGTTTTGACAACAACTAATGTGAAGGTGGACAGGAATGTGTTTGTAAATGTTGTGCAATAGAACTTTTATCCGACAAATGAAATGTAACTCGTCTTGACAATGTTGTGGTCGTCAAACCATATGTACTTACTTTTATTTGTCAGAGATACAAAGTACATTTAAACTGATAACAATGTTTGTATACATGTCTCTCTCTCCCCCCACTCTCTCTCTCTCTGTGTGTTTCTTTATCTATAAAGAGAAGAATATGTTTATTCAGCTTGGCACATCCTGACATATGTCAGCGCAGGGAGATGGAAACAGTTTTGTAGATATATGAAATGATAGACATAGGCAGATAGAGCGACTGACAAAGAAAGAAAGAAAGAAAGAAAGAAAGAAAGAAAGAAAAAAGAAAGAAAGAAAGAAAGACAATAATTAATAGCTACAAAGAAACGCGACGCTGAATGTGTAAAATGAATTTTTTCAAATTGAAAATAGTTTTCTTGAAGCTTTTTATATTTACAATGACCAAAATACTTTTATTTGAAAAAGAATGTAAATAGATTGGAACGAGTTTAATTGCTAAAATGGCTGATTTTCCCTATATTTTAAATTCTCTCAGCACAACGTAATTCTCTTTATTAAAAATATTTACTGAAACTGTTTTATTGAATTTAAGATATTTTGGTTTCAAATTTATTATAGTTATCGCTCTTATTTTCCGATAATGTCGTGTGTGGATGTACGTAATTTCAAAAATCGGCATGTTTATACACACAAAAAAATCAAAATTCTTTTTTTCTTGTAGTAAGTGTTACCATTTATGATTAGTAAATATAGTTTGTAGTTAATAACAATATCACCTAACAAGCACAGATTAATACATGACTTTTAAACCTTTTAAATTATTCTAATTATTTAAAAAAAAATGAATCATTTCTTGTAAAAATACATTATTCATCGAAATTTCTTTCGTTAATATTATAGTGTTTATTATATATCTTATTCATAAAAGAAATTGAAGCTTTTCTAATTAAATAATACCTGAGCTTTATTGCATTTTTTATTTAATGGTTTAGAACAGATTTTCGGCAACTGAACTCCTATTTTACAAAATAAATAAATAAATAAACAATGATTTAAGTTCGCCAAGGAGTTCTACGGATAACTCAATATATTACTGTTCTGACAATTTTTTCTCTGGTGTCCCGATTACGTGAATTTAAGATTGCTACTAGATTAGCATCTAGGTCCCACCATTTTACTATTGAAATATTTAAATGTAACCGCCACTTTTACTCGAACAGTTTCTTTTCTCACACTTCCAGCTTTTGAGACTCCCTTCTGTTCAGTTACTTCCTTGAAAACTTCAGAAATTTAAATGCAACGTCAATCGCCATCTTCTGTCTTCTTCATTCACCATTTATTCTTCCCACAACCCTCCCGATAGTCATTCTTTTCTCTCACTTTCACTCTTTGTAACCCCCTGCGTACTAGTGGCATTCAGGCCTAGCTTGGAGTGAAATGATTTTAAAAAATAAAAACGAACAATCATTAAGTGTTGCAAAATTTAATTTCTGGAAATTTCATAAAATCCTATAGAAGTGGGGCTTAACAGATACAAAAAGAAAAGTTTTACCAAGAATTTTTAAAAAGAAACATTTCGTCATTTATGAATAAGTCCTGAAAGTTTAATTAAAATCCGGCAATTATTTGATTTTGCAAGAATTTCCAAATCAATGAGTTTTTCACCACAAAAAATACGCTAAAATTTCATATACTCATCTTTGGACCCTAGCTGACGAAAAAAAAAAAGATTTTTAACCAAAATTTCGAAATTTTGGTCTTTGCTCTTAATAATAACATAAAGATTTTGACCATAAAACTTTGTTTCAATCTCATTCTTTTGATATCTATCTATCTATTTCATTCTTTTCATATCTATCTATCTTTTACTTTTGGTTCTCAATGGATTTAATGACGACAAACACGAACATGTTTCTTTATATATCGTTGATTATTGCTTCTATTAAAAATGCATTATTTACATGGATGCTATTTCAGTTAAAAACAACATCTATCTATCTATCTATCTATCTATCTATCTATCTATCTATCTATCTATCATGATCTCTTCAACATCTATCTATCTATCTATCTATCTCAGTTTATTCATTATCTATCTATCTATCTATCTATCTATCTATCTATCTATCTATCTATCTATCTCAGTTTATTCATTATCTATCTATCTATCTATCTATCTATCTATCTATTTATTCATTATTTATTCATTATCTATCTATCTATCTATCTATCTATCTATCTCAGTGTATTCATTATCTATCTATCTATCTATCTATCTATCTATCTCAGTGTATTCATTATCTATCTATCTATCTATCTATCTCAGTGTATTCATTATCTATCTATCTATCTCTCTATCTATCTTAGTGTATTCATTATCTATCTATCTATCTATCTATCTATCTATCTATCTATCTATCTATCTATCTATCTCAGTGTATTCATTATCTATCTATCTATCTATCTATCTATCTATCTATCTATCTATCTATCTATCTATCTATCTCAGTGTATTCATTATCTATCTATCTATCTATCATCTATCTATCTATCTATCACTGTCGACTCATCCTTTTAAGTTATTCATTGAATTCAATTTAGTACAACACCAGGTAAATGGCGTTTGAGTCACATATTCTGCCAATCCTTCGAATCGAGCAATCTACCGCTGGATAAAATCAGCTCGATCAGCGATTGCAGGGCTCGAACGTTGACCTCTAGCAGTGAGGAAATTGCAATACTATCTCAGAATACAATATCATAAGCAAAACTCACTCTCTCTTTCTCTTTCTATGTATAAACATAGAGAGAAAGAGAGAGAGAGAGAGGTAGGATGAATGTATATGTGCGTGCGTATGTGTGTGTAAGTATGCTTGCGTGTGTTAATATCCCTGTCTATTTTCTGAGTGTGCACCTTATTTAAAGTGTCATCATTCTTTCGTTTCATCTTGGAACTCGATCTTTGCCATCCAACACGTCAGGTGTCACTTTCTCGCCACCTCCTACTGTTCTTCACTGACTATACTGTCTCGTCTCCTTGGACCCAACTCATTTGGCAGAGGCCGGCGGCCATTTTGCGTTGATCGGCTGAATGTCGCACCGATGTTCGTACATGTCGGATGTAACAGCTAAGACGTACGGTAATTCCCGTACGCTTGACCACTTAGGCTACCGAAGAAAACCTCTGACCATTGTAACACCAAATGAATTTCTCTCTTTCTGCTTGTATCTCTGTCTCTTTTTCCTTCTCCCTTTCTATTTTTCTGTCATATTTCATCTCGCTCTCACTGCCCCTCTCTTTCTCTAGATTTCGTTTTCTTTTTCTATCTATGTCGCTTTTTCTTTCTGTCTTTTTCTTTCTCCTCTCTCTTTGCTGATCTGTTTTTCCTTCCTCCTTTTTGTTATAATATTATATTGTTTATCGGTTCATTCTCTTTCGTAAAATTCATAGACAGGATGGGCAGTTCACCTACCCAGCAAAATGCAACATTTTTTTTTTTTTTTGTTAATTTCGATAATGGTTATTAGTAAACATTTAATTACAGGGTGGGAAAGTCAAACTTGCAAAATTATTGCACCATCCAGAATTCGCTTATTATGCATAAATAATCCTCTTAATCCAAAAGGAAATTAAAAAAAAAACTGATATATAATATCAAATGAAAGGATTTATTCAATAAAACTTTCAATATTTTCATTACCGTCTCAACAGAATCTACAAAACTTGCGAAACATTTAACAACCAAATAATTGGATATCTTGCTCCACTTGATAAATTCTCTGCAAAATTTTCATTGAAACTCATTAGTGGTTCTATGTTGCATGATATCTAGGAAAGGCAATGTGTTATTGGTGTTAGGTTCAAAATTAAAATCTGTTGTGGATTCAACATTATTAAAATGATTTGATTTATTTATTTATTAATCAAGTTCGTCCCCAAACAAGGCAGTAAAGCCACTAAGACATAAAGGGTTACTGGGTGACAGTCCGACAATTAATTTAAGACATTTTTTTGTTTATAAATTCTTTTTATAGATACAAATAAACATAAAAAATGTCTTAAAATAATTGTTGGGCTTTGTCCATTTCATAATGTGTGACGTCATTTGTTTACATTTAGATACGCCTTGAGCAGATATGAATGTACGTGAGAGATTCATGGAAGATTGAAGTTTAAAAGCAGTAAAATCGACCTTTCTAATTGAACGATACTCCGTGGCTCGATCGGTAAAGCACGTCAGGCTATATTTGTATATGACGGTATCCTATGATACAGGTTCGATTCCCTTCGGAGGCCCGTAAATGTTATAAATACTGTTTATTATAAAACAGAACATTTACTTAAATATTTGTATCTATAAAAAGAATGTATAAACATAAAAAATGTAAAAACGGAGTCAGTTTCTCGAGACGAAATTCTACCCTTCGGGCATAGCCTCGTTTGGGAGATATCTTCTGACATCAGCCAGGTAATATATATATATATATATATATATATATATATATATATATATATATATGAGAAAACAGCCTCACATCACAAGTAAAGTGGAGAATCATCTCTACGGCTCGAACTCCAAGAAATTTCAGAAACCGATGTGGCCTGTGTATTAAAGAGAAGATCCTAATAAATTACTAAACATAATGAGATGATCTTTAAATGCAGGCATAGAAATAATCTCAATTTAACTCAATACTACTAAAAAAAAATAAAAATAAAAAAAACACTATCAGTTAAAATCTATTATGTTTATAAGCAGTTGTATAGGGGTACTTTGATATACATCCTTTTTTGGCCATGATTTAATGTTGGTATATTTAATTGTGGTATATGTATGTGTAGATATTTGTGTATAATGGTAAATATTGGTTTATTTTTTAATTTGAAGATGACTGTATGCATACATGTGTACGTGTACATAATTGTATGTAATATAACTATGTATATGGGCTTGCATATGGATATGTGAATTTATTTGTCTATGTATATGCATAGGTATATATATATATATATATATATATATATATGTGTGTGTATATATATATATATATATATATATATATATGTGTGTGTGTGTGTGTGTGTGTGTGCGGATATGTGTGTAAATATGTATATGTGTATGTGTTCATAAATTTAGGTATGTGTGTATATATATCAATTCATGTATATGGGGTTGCATATATGTTTGTATATATGTATTTACGAATTTATATATGCCATAAGTAGGATATGGTTGTATGAATATATATATATATATATATATATATATATATATATATATATATATATATATATATATATGGATGTTTGTTTATGTGTATAGAGTTATAATGGAAGGAAAACAGTTTTATTACCTGTTAATCTTACTTTCTCTTGAAATAATTTCTAATTAGACTTGAAAGATTGGAAATTTTACTCATCTGGAGATAATCTCACTTTGAGTTAAATTAAAAAAATGTTACTCCTTAACCATTATTCATGATATTAAAAATATTAAAATTTAAAGGATTTTTATAAATTTAAACACTTAATTCACCATCTAACGTTAACTGTAAAATTTAAGAAAAAAAAATGTATAAAAATGGATGTGTATGTGGTTATATATGTAATTGTACATTTATATGAATATATGTGTGGGTGGTTTTACGTAAATATGTATGTGTTGTAAGAAAAAAAAACTTTTTTTTTTACTATTACGTTGAAATTTTACTCCATCTTAATTTGAAATCTAAACTTTAATTAAGAAATATTACCCATCTAAAAATAGCTACAAATTAAATTCATGAATTAGACTCAAATTGATAAAGATTTTACCTTAACAGTCATTCACATTATTAATATATTACTATTAATTTATTTTTATTAATATGATATTCGGCTTATATTAAATCTCTAATTTATTTGTGGAGAAATTGAATATTTAAATAGCTAACAAGCATTAAATTTAATTTCTTTGTAGAGTTTTTAAACATTTAAATTACTATCAAACGTTAAAATCTGTTTTTATCTAAATTGCTAAAACTATACCACCCCTCTCCTTCCTCCAAAAAAACCTACGTAGATCTCTTATCTCTTTACTTCCCCCTTTTTTCTTTTTCCTTTTTCTTCTTTCTTCCTTTTCCCATATCATTTCCGTTAAGTTGACCGATTAAATAGGTCAATGTCTGACCCTTACCCCCTCCTTCCTCAATATTAAGTATTGTAATAAAAAGAAATATAAAGATAAATTTTAAACTCTCCCTTCCCTCTCTAAACTCGACCATGTCTCTCACACCATTACTCATCACTCTCTAATTCAATTTATACAAGCTTAATACTGCCCGTCAAAATGTAAATTTTAAATTCATTTTTCGTTTCATTTTTGAAAATGAAGTCTGAAGATCCAGAGAAAAAAAAAATTCTCTGGTGAAATAAATTATTACAATAAAGTCTTAAAGTGGTCTGTTTTTCATTTAAATTAATATATATATATATATATATATATATATATATATATATATATATATATATATATATATATCGTATTCTTTTCATATCTATATATCTATCTATATATCTCTGCGTGTGCGCGTGTGTACGTGAGTGTGTACGTATGTAATAACGCGCACACGCGCGTATGTGTTTCTGTGTGTACCGTGTTACGCCAAAAAAAAGAATTCAAAATAACCGATTTTAAGTGATATATTCCTGATTGGAATTTCAAAGTCTTTCCTTTAAATTGTAGCACACATTAAAATGACTGTTTTACTTTATTTTTCTCTGTGCAATCGAGGGACGGAATCGCGTTTCATTTTAAAATCTGTTAAAGATCGATATCATCAGCTCCAAAAGAAATCAGTCATCTCATGGTGTTGCCGACGGCGATCTTTCTTGATTGCATGGCAAACCTTTTTTAAGATGTTCACCATTTAGGCTTGTTCCAGTTTGGTCAGATCATGGTCGCTCAACAAGTAAAGATATTTCACAAGGTTTGAAACATAAATAATCACACATAGACAATAGAGTATGGAATATGTATGTCCAATGTAAAAATTGAATGTTATTTTATTATTATTGATATTGCAGTCTTCCAAATACATGACGAAAAGCCCATTAAAATATAATTCGTCGCTACATATAATTTAAAGATGCCTTAGATATTTTAGATTTATCATTTATTATAAAATAAAATAAAAATCTCAACCAATTATTTCCAATAACCCAGGATCACAAAACTCTACTGTTGTAAAAAGAATGTAGTTTATGACTTTGCGTTCAAACAAGAAGTTAATTACTCCATAATATGAGAATGGAGAAAGTGTGTTTTGCGTCAATTTCTTTTATGTGTTGCCGATTATATTGCAATATACCTTTTCAACTTCAAAATAATAATAATCAACTTCAAAATGGACTTATTTTCAAGTAAAAAAATTAATCCACTTCAAAATCGATTAATCAACTTCAAAATCGATTAATCAACTTCAAATTGGATCAATCAACTTCAAATTGAATCAATCAACTCCAAAATGGATTAATCAACTTCAAATTGAGAAAATGTCAAAAACCTAAAAACAATCAACTTCAAAATAAGAATAAACAACTTCAAATTGGAATAAACAACTTAACAATAACAAGATTTTTTTGGTAAATTGAAAATTATTTTTTCAATTAATTTACCTCATGAGTAAAAAAATTGACCGTTCGTCTTCATTATATAGATGAAGAAAAAACCAAAATAGAAACAACTTAGAGGCCAAGAAAGCATTGGGTGAGCCTACAGTAAAAGTAGGAGGAGAAAGTCCTGTATGGGCAAAAATGATGATTGATGATGATGCTGGAGAAACCTCTACAAAAGAAGCTGAAGAAGAATTAGCAACAGCTCCAAAGAGGACTTACATCAAGAAAACTGTGGCTGGTGAAAAAAAAAACAAAAAAAAACCAACAGATTTTAGCTGCACATGCCGCAGCAAGAAATTGGAAAGACCTGGCAAGAACAATTGGTGTGCCTCTGCCAACAGCGTACCGTTGGTTAGACCAGGGTGCTGATAAGAGTGACTCTAGAGGAGGAGCAAGAAAATATAATATTACGCAAGAGCATAAGAATTTTATGGCCGAATTAATTGAAAACTCTCCTAGGGTCACTCTTCAAGAC